GTTCATTTAACATAAAGCTAGGAACACTTTAAATAATTATCAAAACTTGTAAAAGCACTTAAAAGGAAACACGTAGAAATGCTTCTGAAATCATAAACAGCACATAAAACAAGCAACTGAGGACATGGCCTGCAATTGAACCCAGGCTGTGCCCTTGGGAAGTAAATGTACCCGAGAGCTGTCCTCACAGTGACATAAGACGTTTGAACCTATAACTAGATATCTAGGCAGCAAAAATAGAGAAACAAAAATGAAAATGGAACCAGTGAAGAACAAGCACAAACATGATCAAGCCAATAAGCCACATCCTAACCATACTGAACTATCTTCTTATCAAGGCAGCTTTTAAATTTCATAGATAAACTATGTATATTAGGTCTGGATAATTCAACAGATAATTAGAAGAAAAGGCATAGAGAACAAAAGGTCAAAAGAAAACAAAGTAACCAAGAAGACAATGAAGAATTTAAAAAAGGAGGAAAAAGTAAACTAATACAAAAGGGCACAACGTCAAACGCTGAAATTTTATTTACCAATGCTCCTACAATTCATTCATGTGGTCAACTAGATCCAATCATAACCATACAAAATTCAGATAGAATTCTTAAGTGATTAGATTAGATAAAGATATGATTAATGATGTGAAAGCTGGACAGTGCTGTTTACTAAGAGATAGTCACATAAGAAACAAACATGTATATTGTAAGAAAATCACTGAGAATCGGGGGGACAAAAAAAAAGCAAAAAAATTAGAAAAATACAAGTCAAGATCCCTCTTAAATTGGGGCAAGAAAAGGTATGCCCACATGCATCAGCTTGGAAGATTATAGCCCTCAAAGGAATTGGGGATGAACAACAAATCAGATTACCTTCATATAATACCAAGATCAAATTCTGAATGTATCTTGAAATTATGCATTCTAATAAAATTGTGAGGGAAGGAGATATACTTTTTATGATGACACAATTTTGCAATTCATATGATGAAATGCTTAGGCATTTTTCCCTATTTCAACATATAATCTGTTGTTGACAAATTGTTAGGTTTAAGTCATGAAGTGAAAATAAGCCATACATTGTGAAAGTATTGGTAATTGAAAAGATTATCCAGATACATAACAAAGGAACTCACCGGTTACGATTAACCCTCCAGGCCACTCTTTGGAAAGAGACCGGAAATTTTGTTGTTGAATGAAGGCGAACGAAACTGATAACTTATAAAGCACATCAACCAGCAAAGTTTCTGTCAACCTGGCAATTCAAGCCTTCATGCATTGCAACAAGTGGTAGGTGAAATGAGATTAAGTGAGCGAGACCCCAATAAATAAAGGGTACCGATATATAGATTTCCATATTATTCATTTACCCCGCTCCCGCAGTATGCAAATTCTTTCGGAATTTAGTCATGACCTAGTTGCAATATTTAGCAAGTAAATAAACTTGTTACCTTTCATGATAATAGTGACTAATAATCCAAAAACATACTCTAAATACGATGAATACTATAACAGGATGCAGAAATAATTTTGTAATAGTAATTCATCCAAGTAGAAGGTGTAATCAAATGCAAGTTAGGCATACTGCTTAAATCCTATTTATATGTTAACATGGTCTTACTGATGCCAAGGTTGAGATAAGATCTGCCAAGAAATGCTGTGCATGTAAGCTATAGCAGTGCATAATCTTATACATGAGAGTCCAAGAAGCAATAGTGGTAGTTGTGGCCACAACAGTTCACTTGAATACAGTTCATTGGTACATTTACATTGAGAAAGTTGTAAACTTACCATTTACTTCTGGTTGGACATGGTGCTTGTAATGATATTTTATCACTTAAATTTCAATTTTTCCGGTGTCTTCATATTCAGGACTCACACAAATCCCAACGAGAGAACTTCTTTTATGTAAACAATGCATAATTGGCTTTCAGTGATGAACTCCATGATCTAGCAATGCTAACTTCAGTAGCCATGATCATTGATTTTAGAAGCCATTGCAAATCACATTCCTTGATTTTCTTTGAGAAAAGAAACACAAATAATTTATAGCCAAAACAAAGAAACACGAATAATGCAATAAATGCTTCTTTTCATCCATGGTTGCTTACAATAAATCCAACAGCTCATGATAAAGATATTATTCTCTTAGCATGAACCAATTGTAGTCCTAGTAAGAGAGGCAGCAAATCATTACAACATATACAATGGGCATCTATTAGTAAGATTGACATTCATAGCTTATAACTCATGAAGTCATTGATTCATTATACAGAAATCTACAGTATGTCTCATTCAGATAAAATTAGATGTTGCATCACTACAGCAAAAAGCATTTCGGAGTTAAGTGAATCCCTTAGTTAACTTTAATAATAGATTATTAGAAGATCAGGACTTTGAATGTACATTTAAAAGAGAGAGAGAGAGAGAGAGAGAGAGAGAGAGGTTAAATCCTTTAATTTTCACTCCAACCTAACAAATCCATTTCCTTACTCTAAATGGGCATGATCCATGGCACTCATATGAATAAACATTGTCATTGAATATCATAATGGGCAAAAATTACTGAACTTTGCGGGTTCCCCTGCTTCCTTTTTTCCAATATTTGTATTAGATGAGCATCATTAGCAATACAAGAGTGATATAAAACCATTACAAGAATACCAAATTTAAAACATTCAGCCTAAATTTAGAAAACAAACAATGCTGAGATATTTCCTGATTAACAAACCCAGAGTATTGCTGTAACTGAAGAAAGGGCAGGCAGAAAAGGTAAACAGCGCATGCATTTGCGAAGGAAAGAAAAGCATTAAATTGGGGTCAAATAAATAAAAAGTGGAAATTGTACACCTCGGGCTGTAAATTGCCATGCAAAGCACCAGAGAGAGGTTGGTCTGAAACCTTGCCAATTTCCCGAAAAGACAGAGAGAGAAAGAGGGAGTGAATGTGTCTCTGAGTGATGAAACCTTGGGTGTAAAGTGAAATAAGGGTATAGACCATTGTAAATTTGTGATAGGATTTTGGGTTTGTGGAGGTAGGAGTTGCAAACATCAAAGACTTTACAAGTAAGTAGTTTCGAGGTTACAGAGAAACAGTGATTGTTTGTTGCGGAGGAGCAAATTAAACAGCTTTCTCTGTTTCTCCCCCCAAGTCGAAACTAGGGCTGGCAATGGCTCTTGTCGTGCCGAGTTCGTGTCTTGTGAGGATCATATACATGTTAACAATGCTCAATCCTAACCCGATACGGATTGAACTTCTAATTTTCGGATTTCAAGTGACATATCGAGTTGACCCGCTAAGTGGTAAACTTCTAATTTTCGGATTTCAAGTGACATATCGAGTTGACCCGCTAAGTGGTAGAAACTAGTAACTAGCGAGGTAAAAATGTAAATAAATATATATATAAAAAAAAGGTAAAGAAAGAGATGACTATTTAAAGAAATTTTTTCATGATGCTAGTGATACCAAGAAAAATGGGACTAGCAACATGTGGAAGCATCTAAACAAACAATGCTTGCAATATCCTTATAGGCACAAGGATAAGAACACACGTACGCTCGCATTTGATGCATCCAAGGGTAATGCTCTTGTTTCTAGGAATTTTAACAAAGATGATTGTTTGGATGCTTGTATTAGGATGGTGGTTCGAGATGAGCTACCTTTTAGCTTTGTGGAGGGTGAAGGGTTTAGGGAATTTTGTAGTGTTGCATGCCCACAATTTAATCCACCCTCTCGTAGAACTCTTGGAAGAAGATTTCTAGAAATGTACACAAAAATGAAGGAGAAGTTGAAAGTTGACCTTCGTTCACATAGAATATGCCTTACAACCGATACTTGGACATCGGTTCAAAATGTGAATTACATGGTGTTGACTGCCCACTTTGTGGATTTCGACTATAAAATCCATAAAAGGATCCTAAATTTTTGTGTAATTGATAGTCATAAGTGGGAGAGCATTGGGAAATTGCTTGAAAATTGTTTGGTTGATTGGGGACATGAGAAGATACTCACAATTACTGCAGATAATGCAGCTGCCAATACTAAGGCAATTGAATATGTGAGGAAGAAGATAAATGGGTGGAAAGATTCGAATAGTGTGTTAGGAGGAGTTCACATGCATATGAGGTGTAGTGCTCATATAATCAACTTGATAGTTAAGGAGGGTTTGAAGAGATTAGAAAGCTCAATTGTGGCAATCCGTAATGCGGTCAAGTTTGTGAGGTCCTCACCTTCTCGGTTGAGTTACTTCAAAATGTGTGTTGAGACCGAAAAAATAGAGTGCAAGGGGTTGGTGGTGATGGATGTGCCCACTAGGTGGAACTCCACTTATTTGATGCTTGATGCGGCATTGAAATTTCGAAAAGCTTTTGATAGAATGGGGGATGATCCCGATTCTTCCTACTTAATGTACTTCAAGGAAGATGAAGGAGATGATGAGAGAATTGAAGGCATTGAAGGAAGTGGGAAAGGGAAGGGAAAGTCTAAGACTAATAAGAGGGTGGGTCCACCTATTGATGAAGATTGGGAAAAAGCCGTGACATTTGTGATGTTTTTGAAGACCTTCTATGATGTTACTTTGAAAATTTCAGCGTCTTTGCATCCAACATCACACTCAACCTTCCATGACTTGCTTGCCATAGATGGGGAGATTCGGGAGTTGTATAGATATGATGTTACAATTCCTATTGAAGAACGGACAGCCATGGATACTCTTTTAAATGATATGGCAGCATCAATGAAGAAGAAATATGATAAATATTGGGGTGAACTTCATAAAGTGAACCCATTCTTGATGATAGGAGTTGTGATTGACCCCCGATTCAAGCTTCGCAATTTGAAGCACATCTTTGAAGAAATATTTGAAAATGATCCTACTTGTGATAGATTGGTGGCTCAAAAGACAAATGAGGTGAAACAACTTCTTATGAATATGTATGAAGTGTATAAGCCTAGTAGCAACAATATGGGTGCTACTAGTACTACCAATGAGAGTGGTGGTAGTACTAACAATGAAACCGACTCTTCTTTGGTTTTTGGAGGTCGTAAAAGAAAAACCATGATGGAAAAGTGGAAAAAAATTCAACAAGAGAGTGAGAATGTGGTTATAACACATGAAGTGGATAGGTACTTGTTGGATCCACTTGAATCCATTGATGAGGAGTTTGATATACTAGGGTGGTGGAGAATAAATGGGCTCAAGTATCCTACTTTGGCATCAATTGCAAAGGATGTGCTTGCAATCCCTACTTCCACAATAGCTTCGGAGTCTTGTTTTAGCACAAGTGGGAGAGTGATTGACTCGTTTCGAAGCTCATTGTCTCCTAGGATGGTTGAGGCTTTGATTTGCTCTCAAAATTGGATAAGGTCCGAAGATATATCTTCATTGCAATATGTGCCAACCATTGAGGAGATGGAGTTTTATGAAGCAATTGAAATGGGTAATGTTTTCATTTGTATAAGTATATTTGAATCCGATTATTTTCTCATTTTTATGTGTTCTAACTCAAATTGGTTTGATTTATTTTATTATTTTTTGTAGAAATGGGGAGTAAAACATCCACAACAAATTTGAATAAGACTCCCCCTTCTTAGTGTGATGAAGATATGTTGGAAGGTATTTTTCTTGCATCTTGTTTTAATTATGATTTGTTTATGGTGAAACTTTGTGTTAATTCTTTTAAGTGTTATGTAGGTTGCTTTGTTAAGGCTTTTGGAAGAATGGAGGCAGCTGATTTTTTGCAAGGATATTATCTTTAGACTTTATGTGTATTTTTGTGATGGGTTGTAATATTTCATAAGTTTCATTTGGATTGCTTGCTTTATTTGTAAGTTATTTTTTGTAATGGTTTGTAAGTTTCATTTTGTAATTGCTTGCTTTTATACATTGAATTTGCATGCTTGGAATGATGGATTTTTATAGGTTGAATTTGCATAATTTTAGGATTTGAAAGAGAGGTGAAAATGTGATTTGGGCTTGTTAATAAGAACTTATTAGGTTTTGGAAATTTGACAACAAAAAAAGGGTTTTGGCTGAAAGATAATTCGATTTGGGCTTTTTTTTTGCTGAAATTAAATATAATTTGGGCTTTTGAAAATATAAAATTGGGCCCAAGCCCAAACCGATCAAAAGGCAGAACCGACCCGAGACCCGAGTCCATTTCCGGTTTGGCTCAATTTCGGGTTTTCACTTGGACCCAACCCGATCCGAGAACCGAAGTCACCATCGGTTCAGCTCCACGGGTCGGCCAAATCTGGACCTGACCCGAACCGTGCCCAGGCCTAATTTCAACCATTTGCCCAAGTGAGGCCACGTTTGATAGCCTTTTGGGTATTCGTTTAACGCAAATCATGGGGAAGCTAGTGTCGCAAGTTCACAACTGATGTGACGGAATTAAAAGAACAGAAGAGTCAAGGAACAGGAACAGAAACAACAAAGGAGGAAAGATCTGCGTACTGAAGTCTAACACAAAAGGAAAAGTCTGCATATAGAGAATTTCAATTTACATGCTTCTCACATTGCATAAAATGATGCAGGGCTCTGACTATACAGAAATTCCTTTCTACTTCTACTGGATAACTACTACAAAAATACAAAAAGACGAGGGGAAATCTCCGTCGTCTTTATTGCTTCAAAACCGTTGTGGTTGCTTCAAAATCAGTTTGCATCATTGCATCATCAGATAGTTATAATTAAACTAGTAAATTTATTTAAGCTCATTTTGTTTTTTCTTTTCTTTCATGGCTCCCACATAGACGGTAGAAGTTATGAGCCATTTCTTAGTTTTACAATGACCTGGGTTGAAGGACCCACATCTCAATATATGAAAGATTGAGAAAGATAAATAATAATAAAAAAATTAGAAAAATGAAGAAAATAAAGAACCAAAGAAACGGGTTGGTGGGTTTACACATGTATTTTAGTGGATTGGCAAGTTGACCCAAAACTTACCCATTTATTAAACGAGTCATGGTGGGTTGACTTGAAAATAACTTGAAAATTTAATCGTGCAAGTTGACCTACTAATTTTCCGTGTGGGTCATGTTGGAAATTGCCACCTCTAGTCCAAACCCGATCCTTTAAGGAAAGTGAAGGGGGTTTTCTCTCTCACACACACAATCAAGGTTTGTAATGAATTGAAATTTAAGAATAACAAAAGTCTGTAAAATTGTATGACACACTTTATGAAAGTCTATAAAATTCTATGAAAGTATGTCACTGAGATTAAAGTCATTAAAACTCTGAGTCTACGAAAGTTAGCCACTTAAAAAAATAGGCAAAATTGTAGCAATGGTCCCTAGACTAAGACCAAACTTTACTTTTCGTCCCTCATATTGTTAAATTATTACAGTAGTACTTTAATTATGCCTCCACTTTCAGAAATTGTCTTTTTCGTCATCTCAGTCAACTTTTCTGTTAAAAATGATGACATGGCAATGACAGGTCCTACTTGGCATGGGTAAAAATATCTTTTCACACAAAAAATTTAAAAAATATATCAAATCTCTCTTCCAACCCCAATTTCTTCCCCCGCCCCCCCTTCCCCTCTCTCTCCAACCCCAATTTCTTCCCAGCCTCGAAGTGACCAATTTCTTCATGAGCTTTTTGACCAGGGAAGCAAAATCCAATTCAAGAAACTACGATATGGGTTTATTTATGGATATACCCCTATGCTTTCAAAATAGTCTCAGATTACCACATGTTTTTTGAAATGTCTCAATATACCACCTATACTTTCAATAAGCGTCTCAAGTTAGTTATTCCGTCAAATTTGAGCAAAGTTTCATTAGCTGATGTGGCCCCCAATTCTTTTCAATCTCTTAACAAGGGAGAGGAAGCGTTAGTCAGGTTGAGAAAAATGGGAATTTGGGAAAAGGGTTTAGGGTTGAGAGAATTCCTGATTTGAGAATCTGGAGGTTCAGATTTGGGAGAAAAGGGGGAATTTGATTTGGGGATTTTATATTTGGGAGAATGTTTAAGATCAAATTTTCAATCATTGTTTTCACTCCCCTTACTGAAATCCCCGAATCAAATCCATCATCCCATTGTCAAGTTGTCAACCCTAGAATTAACACGTATAAATTGGATTAAGTTGTTATGGGCTGGCACCTAGATTTTTAAATTTTTTGGTTGGGCTGGAGTCTAGACAATGGGCCAGGAGCTTTCACAAAACTTCGTCTCCACATTGACGGGGAAATTGAAGGTTGGGGGCTTGCATGAACTATGTTATCTCAATTAAAATGAATGCTGAGCACATATGTTAGTTGGCCAGAAAATTGCGTTCACAATCTTGTACTCAAGTTCGATTCCCTATAGTAATTATAATATCATTTTATCAAAAAAGAAAAATTAAATTGAATTATGGTAAAGATTTTACGTGGAAAACGGTAAGAAAACTATGTTTTCTAATGGCTTGGGTGTTTGAAATTTCCAACTGATAGAAAATGATAGGGGTGGGCATAAAAACCGATAAACCGATCAAACCGACCGAACCAACCCAACCCAAACCGAAAAAGAGCGTTTTTTGACCAAACCGAAAAAGTCAAACCTGGACCTGAACCGAACCGAAGGTCCACGGTTCGGCTCTCAGTTCTAATTTTTTCAAAACCGGTGGACCTGAACCGAACCGGTAATATTTAAATATATATATAATTTACACGTGGCCTCGTGTGATTGGCCAAAAAAAGAGGAAGTGTGAGGGTGCTTGCACCAGATCCCTTACGCAATTTTTTTTTTGCTGTAACCCTTACGCTACTCTCTCAGTCTCTCTCTCTCTCACTCAGTCTGAAACCTTCTCTTCGTTTTTGACCTAAGACCAAGCGGCGCCTCAATCTTCTTCTCTTCGTTTTTGATCGGCGCCTCACCTCTCTCTCTCTCTCGAGCTCGACCCGCCTCAGGTCTCTTTCTCTCGACCCGCATCAGCTCTCTCTCTCTCTCGATCGCGCCACCTTCAGCCCTGCGATTTCTTCCTCTCCTGCGATCCTTCAGCCCTGCGATTCTTCAGCCCTGCGATCCTTCAGCCCTGCGATTTCTTCCTCTCTCATATCAGTGAAAGGTGATTAAATTTATGGTTTATTCTAGCATCATCTTCCTTTGAATTTAGGGTTTATTCTAAATTAAATATATGGTTTTTTTTTCTTTTAAATTAGGCTTGTTGATTTGGTGGTTGAGGTTCTTGTAATCTGTTTAAATCCGTGTTTGTAATATGTTTAAATCTGTTTTTGTAATATGTGTTTGTAATATGTTTAAATCTGGTTTTGTAATATGTTTTTGTAATATGTTTTTATAATATGTTTTTATAATCTATTTTTGTAATATGTTTTTATAATATGTTTTTATAATCTGTACTGTGTTTATAATCTGTTTGTAATCTGACTTTGGATAGGAAAATCTATTTGTAATTATGATTTGTTTATGGTGAAACTTTGTGTTAATTCTTTTAAGTGTTATGTAGGTTGCTTTGTTAAGGCTTTTGGAAGAATGGAGGCAGCTGATTTTTTGCAAGGATATTATCTTTAGACTTTATGTGTATTTTTGTGATGGGTTGTAATATTTCATAAGTTTCATTTGGATTGCTTGCTTTATTTGTAAGTAATTTTTTGTAATGGTTTGTAAGTTTCATTTTGTAATGGTTTGTAAGTTTCATTTTGTAATTGCTTGCTTTTATACATTGAATTTGCATGCTTGGAATGATGGATTGCTTTTATACATTGAATTTGCATGCTTGGAATGATGGATTTTTATAGGTTGAATTTGCATAATTTTAGGATTTGAAAGAGAGGTGAAAATGTGATTTGGGCTTGTTAATAAGAACTTATTAGGTTTTGGAAATTTGACAACAAAAAAAGGGTTTTGGCTGAAAGATAATTCGATTTGGGCTTTTTTTTTGCTGAAATTAAATATAATTTGGGCTTTTGAAAATATAAAATTGGGCCCAAGCCCAAACCGATCAAAAGGCAGAACCGACCCGAGACCCGAGCCCATTTCCGGTTTGGCTCAATTTCGGATTTTCACCTGGACCCGACCCGATCCGAGAACCGAAGTCACCATCGATTCAGCTCCACGGGTCGGCCAAATCTGGACCCGACCCGAACCGTGCCCAGGCCTA